TAACAGGTCTGGTCGAATCTAGGGATAACTTTTTCTCTAATTCGAACCAGACCTTCTCTCTTTTCTCTCTTCTTCTTTCCTCTCCTACTTCTACTTCTTGYTGTTCACTTTACTTTACTTTACAGTCAACGAACAAGACAGAATTCTAGGGCAGGTCGAACTTCAACAAAAACAATGTCATCAGCAAACACCTACACCATGGACCTCCTCCTATATATGATTAATCAATTCATTTATGGTCATTGAGTTCCCTTGGCCGAAAAAAAGACTACAAATCAGGTTTAATCGTTTATTTTAAACTTGAATACAATATATTCTGTTTTAGTCATTTATTTTAAAACCTCTTGTTTCTAAGGTATTTGTCAATAAGCTTAATTCTGCATTTAATCCTCCATCAATTAAAACAATGTCATCAGCAAACACCTATGCCATGGGACCTCCTCCTATATATGATTAATCAATTCATTTATGGTCAATGCAAATAAATAAAGGCTAAGTGATGAACCTTTGTGAAGACCCATCATAATTGTAAAATCTGATGTCTCTCTCATAGGTGTTCTAACATTGGTGGTTACACCCTCATACATATCCATAATTAGGTCTACATACCTATTCGGAATCCCTTCTTTTCCAAGACCTATCATATTATATCTTTAGAAACTCTATCATATGTTTTCTCTATATCAATGAACACCATATGAAGACCCCTTTTTTCTCTCTGAACTTTTTTTATCAATCATCAAAAAAGAAAGATGGATTCTGTAGTTGATCTCCCTGGCATGAACCCTACTTGGTTCTCTGATAATACTTGTTTTATGTTTTAATCTTTGTTCAATTATTCTCTCCCAAAGTTTCATAGTGTGGCTCATAATTTTAATCCCTTGATAGTTCTTACAACTTTGAAAATTGCCTTTATTCTTAAATATAGGGACCATACTACTCTTTCTCCATTCACCAGGCATTTCATTTCTTTTATTATCTTATCAAATAGCTTAGCTAGCCATAAAAAGCCTACTTCTTCCATACCTTTTCACACTTCCATTGGAATTCATTGGACCCTAATACTTTCCCCTTCTTCGTCTTATTTAGTACTTCTTTCACACATGTTATTTTTAACACTATTAGTATTACTAATCTCTCCTTGATTAGCATTCTCAACATGTTCATTTAATAATTTTTCAATTCATCTTGATTTCCTCATCCTTTACCAAGACTCCTTGATCTTCGTCTTTAATGCACCTAACACAGAACTAGAGAAGGTCATTTCTATTATATATTGCAAGTAGAACAATGACAAAAACTTTCTTCTTCTTGGTGGATGACAAAAATGAACAATTTCTCCTAAGACATTATATCCATAATCCATTTAATTTTTCTTTAGGGTCCAAAGTTGTTCCCATTGGTGTTTATCTCCGCATTGGTGCATCTTATGTAAGAAGAATGGTGAAAGCTGTTATCACTTGCTTGTTTCTTGCCCTTTTGTTTCAGAGATTTGGTGTTGGTTTTTTTCTTTATTTGGTTGCAGGTTGGCCCTCCCCTTCAAGCATGCAAAGCTTGTTCAATTCCACTCCAGTGAGGGGTTTAAAGAAGAGAGGTAAAATTTTGTGGAGATGTGCTAGAGCTGCTATTTGTTGGATGGTCTGGGAAGAAAGAAACCAAAGATTATTTCATGACAAAGAAAAAAGCAAGGAAGCCCTCATATAAATTGTTTATGTTAGGGTGGCACACTGGGTCAAGTCTTTGAAGCTTTTTGAAGCCTATTCAGTAGGAGACATCATTAGAAACTGGGAAGAAGTGGCTCAGTCAACTCCTATATCTAGTGCTATTAGACCTGTTTGGACTCCACCAGATTTGGGTTTCATCAAATTGAACTTTGATGGTAGCAGTGAAGGTAATCCAGGCCCTTTGGGCATAGGTGGTATTTTCAGGGATGAAGAAGGTCGAATTATTGCTATGTTCTCAGGATCTATAGGCCGGGGCGATTCTCTGAGAGCTGAAATCCTGGCAGTTCTAGAAGGAGTAAAAAGAGCTAAGCAGTTGAATATCAGTAAGCTGCTGGTGGAAGGAGACTCTCAATTGACTGTTAGTTGGTTGCAGAAGGAAGAGTCTAGCCTGTGGAAGTTCTCAAATGAAAGAAAGAAAATCAAGCAGCTAACTCAGAATATGATTGTAAGGGTTCAATGGACCAAGAGGAGCACTAATTCCATGGCTGACACCTTGGCTAAACAGGGGGTGGGAAGATCTAATTTCTTTTGGGCTATATTGTAATAGGTGTTTTCAGTTCTGTAAGTGAGGATTAAGATATCTTACCCCTCCAATCTGGTTGTAACTTCCATATATTTTTAGTAAAATTACTGTTATTGATCAAACAAAAAAAAGTTGTTCCCATTTAGAAAACAAGAAATCCATGAACTTGCCTGGAGTACAACAGAGTTGATGACATCTGCATATCTCACAGCCAAATTAAGTGACATACACCTCGCAGGTGCAATTGCATAGCATTTGATCCTCTTCCTGTCTATGTCCCCAAGTCTGTCCCGATTCTGCACCACCACCATCGTCAACAATGCCGCAACCCCTGACCCAAGTGAATGTCCAGTGAACGTCAATTTATAGTTGGGATACTTCTCAACCAGCTGTCTTAGAAGCTCACACTCTGCATCCAGTACACACCCAGCTGCCTTCAAGAGCCCATTATGGACATAGCCACCATCAAATTTCCTCTGTCCAAGCTTGTTATCAAGCAGAACTGCATAATCAGATTCCTTCGCCAAATTAAGGCCTCTAAAGGCCAGGACTATATCGGCATTATCATGATCAACGTAGATTATATACGGAGGAGCCCGGCCATAGGTGTCTTCATAAGTTCTCCGCACAATCACCCAGTCAGCATTGATTCCATACCCACCAGGGGGAGCCCAAAGAGGGTGTCGGAGGTCCTCCTCATAGACGGCGAGAATTAGGCGGCAGAGGCGGGGAACAGATTCAAATTCCTCAGCGGTCGCAAGGCCCCAGTTTTCACTGTCATGGCCCGCAGTGTGGAGGCATCGCTTCCATGCCCAGCGAGCACAGGCCAGGCAGTAGACGCATTCAAGAATGGGGAGACCGCAGACGATCGACATCGATGTCTATGAATCCAGCATGTTATCAGAGATTAAGAAGCTGATTTTGATGAGAACATGAAAGAACTGTAGTCTTTTCGCAAATTAAGTCTTCTCTCGTTTATCCCTTCTTAGAAGCCAGAGAAAAGCCTCCAAAGGTGGTAATGAGCATCCAAAAAGGTTGAGCTCCGAAGCAATACGAGTTTTTCCTACTCAAGGTCGCAAACACAAGAAATCAACAGAATATATCGATATACAATCGAGAGTACTCACCAGAACAAAGAAGGGGATCTACAGTTCATGAGCCTCTAGTGGGTGACTGCAGCATATATGAGTTGGTATCTAATGAAAAGCAATGAAATGGATATCCCCAGTAGCTGAGAAGAATATTATAAGGAAAAAAAAAAGAGTAAGCTTAGCAGCAACTAGAATTGCGCAGAAGAAAAAAGTTATTGAGGCGAAAAGTCAAAACATGGCCACTGCAGATAACCAGATACAGATCTTGAGACTAGGAAAAAGTACAATTTCGAAAATTGAACTGAAATTGTTTTATATCTGTACAAAGGATACAGGAACGAAGAGCTGAACGAGAAAGGTAGATACAGATAAATGGAAACAGATCAGTTAATCAATCAAACTTTCTACACTACGGAAAAGAAAATAAGAAAAGTAAAAGAAAAACAGTTGCAGATGATAAATACGTCTTTGGGTATTGTTTGGAGCACAAATTGGTTATTAAAACTAGGGTTTTCTGGGTGTAGAAGACTACAGACTACATAATCAACGAAGACATCACTGACTAAAAAAAAGAGGACGAAGAAGGTCCCAGAGATAACTCTGCAATTATTAAAACAAACAAAAGAGAAAATGAAACTCAATGGAAATATGGTTTTTCCTGAAAATTTACTGGGAGTAGGATGCAAATTATGGGTTTCTCTTGATATCTCCGAACGTATTTTGGATGAAAATTTTGTCGGAAAAGAGTTCAAATTTGACGAGAGAGAGAGAGAGAGAACTGATAGGTTATAGTCGTAGAGAGAGAAAATAAAAACGAAGGAGAAGTGCGAGTCAAAGGGCTCAAAACCCTTGGTAGTTGTAGTTGCTACTTGCTACCCAGTAAGTGAAGTAAAAGCTGGGGTCCGTTCGTCATCTAAAACCTCCACATGCTGTGATATGATGCTAGATTCCAGAATGCCTGTAATATCGTCGGGAGCTCCGTAAATTTCATTGTCTTCTGGTGGTATTTTAGTCCTTTCGGACTTTTGGTCCTACTACTCGCTCAGACATCGCGTGTGAAAAAAAAAAAAACACGTTATTCTCCGACTTTCAAAATTAGGCTAAATTGCTGAAATCTCCCCTAGAGTTTATGCTTATCGTTGAAATCTCCCTTTAACTTTGATAATTTCAATAACTTCTCCTGCATTATTTTCTAAGATAATTGCAAGCAAGGTTCAAAGTATCATAAATGCAAGGTGTATTGGAAAGATAATTTTAAGAGACGAATTGAAATATGCTTTGGATATGTATGAATATGGACAAAAAATCAAGGTACGCATAAATATAGTAGAAAATTCAATTAAATCCTAAAAAATATATTACAAACTATATTTACAAATTTTATATGATTGTAAATAAGTCATTTAAATATAAAAAACCATAATTTAATGGTTTATATAAAGTGTGATATATCGGGACACAATTAGTAACCATTGAAAAATGATGGAAGAAGTAAAATGTAAAAAAACAAAAAAACTAAAATGTGAATGTCAATTTTCAAAAACCAATATAATTAATCTTAATATTTATTAGTATATAAATTTTAATAATTAATTCTATCATTTATTAATAAACACTTGTCACTCATTAAGAAAAGTGAAAATTTACTTAAAATAAAACATACATATAATCATAGCAAACAAATATATGTGGCTCATTGGCGAACTTGTGTTTATTAAAATCAAGTGACCAAGAAGGTTCAAATCTTGCTATAGCTAAATTTTGAAGTTTTACACTAAAAAAACGAAATTAATGAGAGAAATTGAATTAGGCGCTAAAATTTAAATTTAAATTTAAATTTGCCTTGGAGTAATTGACTGGTTAATGAAAGAGAAATTAGACTTAAATAAATGACATTAATGAGAGATTCGGTATTAAATATGGATTAATGAAATTAATGATATGTATCGAACTGTATCAGACTATTTAAGGCCCGTATCGGCCGATACAGATATGAAACAGTCCAATACGAGCCATATCGACCGATACATATGAAAAGAAATGGAACAAGTGATTTATACACATTCCGCGTATCGGGTTCTTGTCAGAACAATACGTATCAGCCGATACAACCTGATACAGTGCGATATTTTGAACCTTGGTTACAAGTCTAACAAAACAACATGAAAATGTCTAAAATACCCATTCAATTACTTTTGACCAAAATGTTTATTTTTCCAAATTTTCTCTTCATATGAATCATGGTTTTTGAATCATCATTGATTCAAATGGTCAAACCGTTCGGCCTGAGAACCGTCCAAACAACCGGTTCCGTTTTACCCCAAATCCAATCCCTGGCCAAAAACCATTGAATTGGTCAACGACTAGTTGACCTGGGCAATCAAACCATCAATCCGTTCAATGATCTTTTACCATTTTTATTTTTATTTTTATTTTTTAATTTTATTGTCAGAATAGATCATCCGTTCAAATCAGACGATTGAACCATTGACCCAGAAACCGGTGGTCATAATGGTTCCGTTTTCGGGTCATTTTTTAAAACCATGATATCGATCACTCAAATGTATATGCAACTTTAAATTCTTTATTTTTTTGTTATTTATAAAGTTTACATTGTTGTTTCATATAGAAATCAGATTGAGTGATAAAGTTCAGGGATAGTGATTACAACTATCAAACTTCAAATAAGGTTTCAATAATGGTTAGAAACTCCTCTATCAATTTACCCTTAAAATTATTGTAAAATAAAGAATGGATAGTCAAAGCATTTTAAAATTTTGATGGACACTACTTTTGTCTTGTCTCCATGGGCAACCACGAGAAATCCGCCCTTCATCTAGGGTTGCGGAATAGCTCAATGACCTCCAGTGATTATCGGAATAACTCAATGACCACCAGTGATTATTGAACAAGCTAGTGGTGGTGAAAAGGATAAAATATCACATCAAATCGGTACTTGATTAACACATTGGCGTGTTAAAAAATCTCTGGAGGGTCGTTGAGTTTGTCCTGCTAGTCGCAGTAATGTTTTCTCAGCTTTCCACGATGTATTGCCGTGGTATACCGTATACCATAATCCATTGGCTACTAGCCTACTACCGGGAAAACATTTCCTCATGTGACCGTCACCCCAATAATTTACATACAGGCATGGATATGTTATCCACTCACCTCTCTGCCAACAAGACATTATATACAATTTGTGAGTAGCAGATCCAAGAGTCACAAATACATCAGCATTTCATAAAAAAACAAACTGTTGATCTACTGTAGAGTTCAGATTTATTATCAATCAAATGCTTTTAACATGTCTCAACGAGCCACTGCAACTGTACATTGGGAATATCTCCCCCATAACCGGTCAGGGGTCCAGTTGTTGGGTCAAACGGTTCAATCTGAACAGTCAGTTCATTATGACAAAAAAAATTTTAAAAAATGAAAAACGATCAAAATCATTTAAACAATTCAAATGATTAATCGGCTGATTCAGCGGTTTACTGACCAAAATCAACGATTTTGAAGAAAAAATGGTTTAGAGAAAAAACAAAACCGATCCCAATTTTTCTAATCCAACCATCCAGTCCGATCCAATTTTGAAAACCATGGAGAGATTTTCCTAATATTGTACGGTTGCAGTGGCTTGTTGGAAAATGTTGGGAGCTCACTGTTATGATCAATACAGTAAATGCGAGCTCACTGTTACCATTTTCTTTTTGTAAGAAGAGCTCACTGTTACCATGAGCTGGCAGATTTGAGCTGGTCGGATCTATCAAACAAAAATTCTTCTACACATATTGTATTCAACTATGCATGGGGAATATCTTGTGTATATGTATAATTCATAAGGAGATATCTCAATGTACTAATTTTTTTGGTAAACCTCCAATGTACTGAATATGCCTATAATAGCTTATGGTAACAGTGTAGGTGTAGGAGCATTATTATTTTTAGTTAGGAGGAGATCCAAATCCATCCAAAACATCTCGCTATGAACCATAACATACAAAGATGGGAGATGTTCTCAACATATAACCGTAGTATTGTGTATAGGTATGGGTAGTATTCTTGTGGGTAGCAGATCCAACTATCACACCTATCATTACATTGTAAGTAGGGGTATTCATAGTTCGGTTAATCGAATCATGGGCATATTTTGCAAATCGAACCAGTGGTACCGGTTTTTCTATTTCTCCAAACTGTGGTACTACCGGTTAACTGGTCCGTTGGTTTTGGTTTTTGACCAATTCGATTACTCGGTTTTCTGATTATATATATATATATATATAATATTATACTATAAATAATAAATAATATATAATATATTTATAAATAGATTATTATAAATATAATATAAGTATATATTTATATATAATGAATATATATTTATATATAATATATAGAAAATATATGATATATATTAAAAATATATAAAATATACATATAAATATATATCGGTCGGTTCGGTTAACCGCCAGTTTTTTGTAGGTTAACCGAAAATCAAATCAATCCTTCGGTTTCTCAAAAATTCCAAACCAAAATCGAACTGATCGATTCGATTAACCACATTTTATGGTTCAATTTTCTCGATTCAATTCGGTTTTTTAGCTTTTCAGTTTTTCATGGACACCTCTAACTGTAAGTTTGTGATCTTCATTTGTATAAAGCCCACTCAGAATTTTTTTGTTGTAGTGTTGTATATCATTTGCCATGTAACAGAGCAGGAGTGGATTATGACATTACTGTAAACTAATATGTGTATCGGTTTACCAAAAAAAAAATTGTATCGAAAACTAATTTATTCACTTGTAATAGGCTAGATAATAATTAACAAGTGATCCACAATTGTGCAAGCAATGGAACAAACTCATAAGAGTCCTGATATAGTCCCAACAGCCATTGCAGCCATATATTGAACTAAGTGGTTAGCTATATGGAATGCTTTCATTGCTTTGTCTTTTAGTAATATAGTATATATTAAATTCTTTGATGGTCAATGCTACGTTTTTAGCAGGCGACCTTAATAATACCACTAAATATTTTGTTATAGGAATATTTTATTTAATATATATAAGTCTATATTTTATTTATCTTTGTTTAATGCGATGGGCATGTAATAATAGAGTCATCACTAATTTCTTTCACAGTTTTAGTACTTTTTGTTTTTATCTATCTATTTATCTATTTATTTATATATATACACACTAAAATAAAGAAGCCTAAACTTTTTCTCCTTTTTTAGATTTTTTTTATTCTATATCATTTTAAAACAATCAATTAGAGACTCTTCCTTTCCTATAAATCTTTCTAGCCAAAATCTCTCTCTCTCTCTCCACCCTCTAAATACATGCATTTAATTTTTCATCAATGTATTAAAACATTCATGTTTAAGTTAAACTTTTTAAGAAACTATTTAAATTAAAACTTAAACATTGAAACAAGATGACTAAAAAACATCTAAAATACTAATAAGAGAAAAAATAAATAATACAAATAATAAAACTAAAGTCATAGAATTTTATAATTAATTATAATAATTTTGTAATTATAAAGTAATAAAATTTAATTTCAATTTAAAAATGATTAACATAATAGAAAATTCAAGGTAAATTATTATTATTTAATTTTAACAATAATAATTGTTAAAATTAATTATAATAATATTTTATTTATGCATCATAACTTAAATTATGCATCAATAACAATTTACTAAATAAATTAAAATTTCACAAAAGTAAGAATTATTAATTTAAGCTCAATTTAAATTCAATTTAAAATAATGAAAAATAAATACAACAATCTAAGTTTAGTATGGGTTTGCCTTCACCCTACCTAGTCTCAGGCGCCTCACTTTGCCACATCATCGAGTTATTATCCTTTAGCCATGTCAACCTACCTCTCATTTCATCGCCATAACAAAGGTGGGAACTTCCCAAACATTAAATGTAT